GGGCCCTCCCGCCACCCGCGCCCACCTCGCGCTCGCTCGAGGACCTCAGCTCGTGCCCCCGCGCCGCCCCTGCGCGCAGGCTCACCGGGCCTTCCCGCCACGCGCGCCGGTGCCCGCACGCCGCGCACTGGGGGCCGCCGCTGCCCACCGCGTCCCACCGGAGACACCGGGGCGGGGACCTGACCGGAGACACCGGGGCGGGGACCTGGGCACTCGCAGGGGCTCGGCGCACTTCTCCAGCCTCGAGTCCGAGGTATGACGCGGCCCGAGGGGCCCTACCGCCCTCTCGGTCAGCGCAGGCCACGGCCCGAGGGGGCACGCGCATGGACAGGACCCGCGTGGGTTGGGATGGAAATAAAACCACAACGGAATGGCCGGGTCCGCCTGGAGCAGCGTCGTGCTCCTGCTCCCATTGAGAGAACCGGGAGCTGGAGGGGATCTGGTTGTCCAGATCTCACCCAGCCTGAGAACGAGGGGCGGGGATCTCAAAACCCACTGGACTTTTTTTTAAACCCGACAAGGGCTTTTTAACGTCACCAGATGGGGCGGGAGGTGTGTGTGTGTGGGGTCACTTCACGGCCGCGCCCCACCCCACGCCCGGGGCCGTGGCCCCCACATCACTGTGCAGCTCCCCGGCCCCAGCCACGCCTCCGGGGAAGCCCGTTTTTAACCTTTCATCCATCGGGACTCAAAACTGTGAGACGCGTTTGCCAAACTGTGACCCCAGACCTTGGCCCCGCCGCACAGAAACCCCTGACCCCAGACTGTGACTTCCAAACCCAAAAATGGTCATCCGACCCCAGACTGTGACCCCGACCCCAGACTGTGCCCCAACCAGACTGTGACCCTTGACGTCGAACAGTGACATCCTCTCCTTTTCTGCCCTCAGTAGCTTTTTCCTACTTAGACCTAAGACTCATCCCCAACGGAAGCTCCGCCTTCCCCGTCCCGCAAAGATCCCAACCTTCCTCAAGCTCACACTTCCCACCCTGCCGCACCTCCCTACTACCCCAGGTGCCACCAACACACCCTCTCCGATTCCAACCCTTATTTGTGACTCTTCAGTGCTGACCCAGCAGATCCCCAAAAGCCTCCTCTTCCCAGAGCTCCAGCCGGGTCTGGGGCTGGGATGTGGAGGGGAGGGTCTGGGAGTCTGCACTTCACAACTAACCTCCGTTCCTACTCTCCTGTTCCACATTGCAGTGTTTGGAATAAACCATGTTTTTATGCTCCTCAGTACAAGCCTAAGCTCAGTGTCCGTCTCTTAGCCCCCTCAACTTCTCTGGAGGAAACAGAAACTCAGAAAATTCCCAGAGGAGAAAAGGAGACAGAAATACAGACTCTAAGGGAGGTGAGGGAGAAAAAGACCAAGGAAGGTAGTGGGAAGAAACAGAAGCGCTGAGACTAGAGGAACGGATAGGGGATGAGGGTAGACAGAGTTCCCGAGAGAGCGGTGAGGGACAGCCAGAGATGAAACGTTTTAGAATCGAATCCGAGGTCCAATTTCCTATGGCTGTAAGCAAAAAGGCTTGCTCGAATCTTAATACCAGGTTCACGCAAGCGAGGAGAATGTCTAACATATCCCAGCCAATCCATATATCTTGAATGCCCTTAATCTCACCAGTGAAACCCATTTCTAACATTTCATTATTCCAATTAGCCAAACCACCAGTGCTGATGGGCGATAAAGAGTCCAAGAACTTGCAAGAGCTGCCTCCAGAGGGTGGACTTTCTGATTAAGTGTTTGTTGACCAGAGCTGCAATGTGAATGCCTGGTTAGGCAATTGACTGCCCCTAGAGGGTTGATTCAACCTACTAACTCACACATAATATCCTGCCTGTCTACACTAAAGCGTTCTGAAATAAATTAAAGCCAGCATAACGGGGAGAGGAGACGAACCCGGCTTTATGGGCCTTCAGGGAGCAGAAACCCAGTCTCCTTGTAAGAGCTCATATTTGCATACATGAATAATTAATTAAGTGGAAAGAACGCACTGGGAATCAGAGGTGGAAGATGGAGTCAGGGCTTGGAACGCCTCTATTTCATGGAGAAATTGGCCTTCTACAGAACTACAGCTCCCAGGAGCCCCTGCCACTGCCACTGCCCCTGCCACAGCCACGAGAAGAGCGCCCCAAAGTGACGCGGCAGACGCAGCTTCTCCTTTCTCTCCTGCAGGGTTCTCTCGCCCCGCCCGGCCGCCGTTACTTTAGTTCTCCCGTCCCCTCTCCCCACCACCCTCTCTAATTGGTGAGCCCGGGGGTTTCCAAGGTAACTGCGCAGTGGGGCGGGCCTTGGTGGGAAGTGTAACCCGGAAGTGACGCTCTTACCGTGCGCCGGCGCTAAGAGCGTTCCAAGATGGCGGGGCGCAAGGCCCGGCGGCGCACGTGTGAAAGTGAGGAGCCCATGGAGGCCGAGTCCGGCGACAGAAGTTCCGAGGGCCCGGCCCAAGTCTACCTGCCCGGCCGGGGGCCGCCTCTGCGCGAAGGGGAGGAGCTGGTCATGGACGAGGAGGCCTATGTGTTGTACCACCGTGCACAGACTGGTAGGACTGCGGGCCGGGACCCCTGGGTCCCGAGGAAGGAGATTGGTATCTTGGGTCCTGAGGAGGCTGGACCTGAGCCCCTCACTTAACAGCCTCCCTGGAAGAAAAGGCTGGGGTCTAAGAGAGGTGATGTCACACTGGAGATAGATAGTTCGCGGGCGAGGGCGTGGCTGTCCCACTCTCTCTTCAACCCTTCTTTCTGTCCCCAGGCGCCCCCTGTCTCAGCTTTGACATTGTCCGGGATCACCTGGGAGATAACCGCACAGAGTTTCCTCTTACCCTTTACCTGTGCGCAGGGACCCAGGCAGAGAGCGCCCAGAGCAACAGGTGAGTGAGACCCAGCGCTTTCTCAGGACCAGGAGTCCTCGTCGTCAGCATCTTCATTTCTTAGGACCCAGAGATCTGAGCCTCCTGGCCTCCCCTCCACGTTCCCCTGGGCCAGGAGTCTAGGTTTCCAGTTTCCTTTCTTGATAAGGATCCTAGCATCCAGTGCCTAACTCACCCACACTTTCACCCAGACTGATGATGCTTCGGATGCACAATCTACATGGGACGAAGCCCCCGCCTTCAGAGGGCAGTGATGAAGAGGAGGATGATGAAGAGGATGAAGAGGAGGAAGAAGAACGGAAGCCTCAGCTGGAGCTGGCCATGGTACCCCACTATGGTGGCATCAACCGAGTTCGGGTACATAGTTCCAGCAGCCCGCCCTGCATTCTCTGCTGCAGCCACTTGAAGTCTGTACCTCTCCCAGCACCTCCTCATGCCTTTCAGCATTTAGAAAAGTACTTGACTTACAGTCGGTCTCATGTGTTCTAGCTATTATCTTAAATGTCGTTATGTGTTAGGTAGTGTTTTAACGGGAATTTTCTTTTTCTTTTTTCTTAATTCATGATAGCATGTGTGAGTGAATGAGAGAGAGAGAGATGAGCACCCTCCATAGGTCCTGAGGTTCTAAATCCTGAGGATTGAGCAGCAGACAAAAGGTGTCCTTGCTAGTGGGGAAGGGAACAAGAAGGGACTAAGAACATGTACAGTATGTTAAAAGGTGCTGGCCTAGCCACAGTGGCATGTTCTGTTACGCTGTGCTCTGCAGGCTGGGACCTCAGAGGAGGTGCAGGGTTCGTTCCCTATCTGACCTAACGCCTAGGTGCCTGTGATCCCAGCTGTTCAGGGAGGCAGAGGCCAGAAGGTCGCAAGCCTAAGACTGACTGGGACAGCAGAGTGAGATTATGTAAAAAGGAACTGGGCGTGGTGGCACGCACCTGTAGTCCCAGCTAGGGGGCTGAGGTAGAAGGATTGCAACAATGCAAGACTCTGTCTTAGATGGGGAAGAGGTGCTGAGTGTGCTGAGGAAAAATTAGAAATGAAGTAGACTAAGAGGATTAGGTGTTTCTGGGGTGGCGTTGTCGTTTTAAGTGCTGTATTTAAGAGAAGTATTCTGTGATAAGCAGTTACCTGTAGGAAGTAAGGGAGCGAGCCAAGGATCAGTGGGAAAAGGCTTTTAAAATTTTTTTAATTATTTATTTTATTTTATTCGTTTTTAATTTGCTCTAGGGCATGTGTGCTCACCAGAGAGACAGAAAGAGAGCAAAGTTCTAAGTCCAGGACTTGAACCGCAGTCCGTCATGTGGAAGTCTAGTGCCTCAACCGCAGCACTACCTGCTGGCTCCTCAGTGGGAAGAGTTTTGCAGTCAAAGGGAACAGAAATGCAGAGGTCCTGGGCAAACGTTGGCAGGTTTTCAGGGGAGCTGGGGGGTCCACTGTGACTGGAGCAGAATGGACTAGGGAGAGAGTGGCAAGATTCAGAGGGTGGGCACAGAGGAGACAGTGTGTTCAGGTCTGTATAGGCTTGTAAGAACCTGAACTTTCACTTGGGGAGAAACTGGGAGCCGTTAGAGGGTCTAGAGCAGAGAGAAGACAGGATCCGGCCCCCTTTTTATTTATTTATTTTTAATAATTATTGTATTTATGGGGACAGGCAGTTGGTGTAATGGCTATGTCGCTGGACTCCCATGTAGTCGACTATAGTTCGAGTCTCAGACCTGGTGGCTTAAACTCACACCCATGTGCATGCTTGCCCAAGATCCCGAGAGGAGAATGGAGGAGAAGGGATTGTGGCATGGCCATCCTCCCTGGGGGGTGATTTCTCGCCTTTTTTTTTTTTTTTTTTGTCTCTCTCTGTCTTTCTGGCAAGCGTACGTGCCATATAGCAAAAACCTCTCAAGAAAAAAAAAAGAATTATTTTATTTATGGATTGATTTACATGAGTTTTGCCAGAGAGACAGACGTTAAGGGCATTGGACTTCCCCATGGCCAACTGTGGCTTTTAATTTCTTTAAAAATTATTTTATTTAACTTTATTATTTTTAATTTGACTAGAGGGTACAGAGTGGGGAGGGAAGAGTAAGAAAGCAAGCAAGGTCCGAGACTTGAACCGCAGTCGGCCATGTGGGAGTCCAGCCTCCTTAACCACCATGCCACCTGCCGGCTCCCAACCTTTGTTTTTAAAGGGACCTCTCTGGCTGCCGTATTGAGAGTAAGAGGCCAAATCCAGGACGAGGGGATAGGCTCGCATGAGGAGGCGGTAGGAGTGATTGAGGGGTGACAGGACTGGCCTAGGCACGAGCACTTTAGGTGTAGTCAGTGTGAGTGCCGAGTGTGAGGAAGCAGAGACAGGTCTAGAACGAGTAATGCCATTTGGGGAACACTGGGGAGGCAGGTAGGTTGTGGGGGTGATTAGGAGCTGGGCTTTGGTCAGGCCAAGTCTGAGCAGTCCCTCCGGTAAGAGTTTGGGGTTTAGGAGAGAGGTCAGGACTGTGGGGTTGGGGGACCTCCTATGAGCAAGCGTACAGCGGCAGAGAGATCTGAGGACCGAGCCCTGCGACCCTTCATGATTCAGAGGGTCATGAGACCAGGATTCTGATTGCCGGTGCCTGGTGGGAATGAATGACTGCCTCAGCGCCAGGCACCTCGAAGTGCTGTCCTCCCAGCTCTGCCCACTCCGGACGAGGGCTGTGCCGGGTGCCAAGCTGGTCCTGCCGGCTGTCATCTTTTCGCACAAAGTTTGCCAGGAGCTGAATCCCCAGCCCGGGGGGATCTGAGGAACTGCAGTGGTGGTTTTCAGGGATGCCGGGTGCTACCCTGAGCCTCCTCCCAGCCTCGCGCCTTCTCTTCACACTCTCTTCCTGTTGTCCTGCAGGTATCATGGCTGGGTGAGGATCCCGTCGCTGGGGTTTGGTCTGAGAAGGGCCAGGTGGAGGTGTTTGCGCTGCGGCGGCTTCTGCAGGTGGTGGATGACCCCCAAGCCATGGCTGCCTTCCTCCGGGACGAGCAGGCTCGCGTGAAGCCCATCTTCACCTTCTCTGGCCACATGGGCGAGGGCTTTGCACTCGATTGGTCCCCCCGTGTGCCTGGTAAGTCCCTGGGAGGGGGAAGGGAGCAGGGACCACAGCAAGGGTAGGCCTTTAGACTTGGGGAGGGGTGAGCTGTGGCCAGGTGGGAAGAGGTGGCCTTCTGCCTCCCTCCCCAGGTCGCCTGCTGACTGGTGACTGTCAGAAGAACATCCACCTATGGACACCTACAGACGGTGGCTCCTGGCACGTGGACCAGCGGCCATTCGTGGGCCACACGCGCTCTGTGGAGGACCTGCAGTGGTCACCAACTGAGGACACGGTGAGGGGGCTGGGGACCGGACTCAGGTCTGGTGGGAAATGGGTAAGGGATCACATCCTTCATCTTGAGGGAGGAGGGTGCTGGGGGCCTGCTAGTTTGGATAGCAGGAGTGCCCTGGTGAGGGGGACCCTGAGGGTAGCCCACCAGTAGTTGTGGGTGTTCACGGTGGGTTTGAGGGTACATCTGGGTCATTCAGACTCCATCTTGCCCAGGTCTTTGCTTCCTGCTCAGCCGACGCCTCCATTCGCATCTGGGACATCCGGGCAGCCCCCAGCAAGGCCTGCATGCTCACCACAGCCACTGCTCATGATGGGGACGTGAACGTCATCAGCTGGAGCCGCCGGGAGCCCTTCCTGCTCAGTGGCGGGGATGACGGGGCCCTCAAGGTCTGGGACCTGCGGCAGTTCAAGGTACTCTCCTAGCTGGACATCTGGGGGTTGAAGGAGGCACTCCCGGCAGCCACTGCGACTTGTAGGTCTTTCCCTCGCACAGTCTCATACAGCCGCTTCCCAGAACTAGGAGGCCCCTTAGAATTTGAGTCTGACCCCTCCACGGTACACGTGAGGAAACAGGCTCAGCAGGACGAGGGTTGCGGCTGGTGTGGGGCCACACGCCTACTGGTAGAGCAGTTGACAAGAGACGGAGGAGGCTGGGGGATAGAAGTGACTACAGTTCCTGTCTAGCCCTGGGACAGAGGTGGCATGTGGCAGGCTGCAGCCAATGGACTCGGGGGTTGTAGTTTGTTCGTGGATTATTTTATTATTTTTTTTCTTTTTATTGCCAGAGAATGCAGGCACTTGCCAGAGGGAGAGGTGGAAAGTGTCCCCCAAAGGGGCATGTCACACTGCAATCTCTTCTCCGTTTCTCCATCCTGTCAGGATTTGGGGCATGTTGGCATATTTTCCAAGCTGCCAAGGCTGGGATTTGAACCACATGGTCAGCCATGTGGGATCCAGGCTCCTCTATTCATTAGTCCATCGAGGCCATCGAGTCAGTGCTATTTGTGTGTGTGTTTATGTGTGTGTGTGTGTTTTAAGTCTTTATTTCTTCCATGAGAGACAGACAGACAGACAGTCACCCTTGACAGGGCCTTTACTCCACAGTCCACCCCCAGCCTCTGTCAACCCAATCCTAGGTGGGGCAGTGCCCAGCATGTACAGAGAAATCTCAGGATGCGAACCTGCCACCTCCCACATGGTCGCAGCATTGCCAGGTGCTGTATTACCACTGCGTCACCAGAGCAGGTCAGAGCGGGTTTTATAGAATCAGCTGAGACTTGGGCCCAGCTCACTCACTGCAGCAGAGGAGACTGAGGCACAGGAAGGACAAGAGCAGAAGAGACAGCACTGCCAAGCTAAGAGCTCACGTCATAGACGGGCCCTAGGCAGGAGAGGGGACAGTGGTGTCAGGTCCCCACCTCCCACAAGGCCAGACCAAACAGGCCCACTCTGTGCTGGGATCACATGCTATGATCTCTTTCTTTTTCCTAAAAAAATTGCTGTAGGGTGTGTGTGTTTGCTAAAGAGACAGAAAGTGAGAAATCACCCTCCAGGGGAGTTGGCCACACCATAATCCCTTCTCCATCTCTTCCCGGGATCCTGGGCATGTAGGCACACATGCCTGGCATAAATTAAACTGCCAGGCCTGGGACTTGAACCACAGTCGACCACATTGGAGTCCAGTGACACAACCACTACTCCATCTGCTGGCCCCATGCTCTGAGGTCTTTTTACCCTTCCACTTTACTGGGCTTGAGAGAATCAGCCCTGGGGAGGCTTCTGGAGATGGAGTCCAGTGCCCAGGCCCAGCAGGTCACGGGGCCCAGCTGGTTGACCCCTGACACTTAGGGGACTCTTCGCGTTAGAGACAGCAGTCCCCAGAGTGCCTTTGCTCTGGTGATGTGCTATTTTTCTCCAGGGTGGGAGCTGCTAGGAGTCGAGCTCCTGTCCTGACAGGCCTAGGGGAGCACTTGGAGAACTGTCCCTGCTGCTCATGGGAAAGGAAACAGGCCAGAACCGGGGCGCAGGTAGCCTCTCACTGGCTGCGGCCACCCTGTATCTCTCGTGGGCCCCTGGAGCCAGGTGGAGGTGGTCAGAGCCCTTCACTCTGTCCTCTCTCCTAGTCCGGCTCCCCAGTGGCCACCTTCAAGCAGCATGTGGCCCCCGTGACCTCCGTCGAATGGCACCCCCAGGACAGTGGAGTCTTCGCAGCCTCAGGCGCAGACAACCAGATCACACAGTGGGACCTGGCGGTGGAGCGGGACCCGGAGGCGGGAGACGCGGAGGCTGACCCTGAACTGGCGGCCCTCCCCCAGCAGCTGCTGTTCGTGCACCAGGGCGAGACTGACCTGAAGGAGCTGCACTGGCACCCGCAGTGCCCGGGTGTGCTGCTCAGCACCGCCCTGTCCGGCTTCACTGTCTTCCGCACCATCAGCGTCTGAGGCGACCCAGTTGTGCCTTCCACCTGTGGACTGGGCTTGAGGTTGGTGCCCCGAAGGAGATCCTTCAGGTGTGTCAGGGAGCCCTCCTTCAAGGAGCTGCATTTCTTTCACCAGCCCATTACCCAGCTCACTGGGTTCTGTTCAGCTTGTTGCCTGAAAGGACTTGGTTTGGCTTGGTGGTCCCCGCAGCCAGAGGACCCAGTTCCTCCCGGGGCTCTGGGAAGCAGCACCCACTGAAGACTTGGTTTGGCAGAGGGCCCCCGCCCTTCACAAGACCTGGCTGGCCTGGTACAGCCTGCGTGTTGGGTTTTTGTCTGCTGTGACTTGGCTCGACCCTCTGATCTCTGCTCCAGAGATCTCCCCCAGGAAACTCCAGGACTTTACAATGGCTAGATCGAGTTTGAGGTGTGGGTTTCCCCAACACAGTTGGGCTCTGTGCCCTTGTCTTGCTGACCGGGTTTGGCTGGCGTTCCCCCGTGGGGGCCATGTGGGGCTCCCCTCCTCCCTGAGTGAAGGCCAGTGGGGGAGAAAGGTCGGGGCTCCCAGAGGCAATAAACGACCAGTGAGACCTGAAGTGCACGCGAGGTTTTGGTGCTTCTGGGCATGTCCTCATGAGGACTGGGGAGTGGGGAGAGGAGTTGGCTCCCAGCTGCCCCCTGGCCTCCAGGCTAGGAGAGACCCTGGCTCGGCTGTGCCGGCCTCCAGCCATCGGGTGCCTCCTGGTGTGTCTTCCCTCGATTTCCCTCCCTCTGCAGCTCACTCAGGGCCAGCACCCCAAGGTGCAGCTCATCCCGGGGAGCCCAGAGCCTTCATTTCTGCCTCCGTGTGTCGCCATCTCACCGTCTCTCCCTCTGTCCCCTCGCCTGTGGCTCCTGCTCCCCCATCCCTCTGTGTCTCTTGGCCCCACTGTCTGTCTCCCTGCCCCCGCTTTCTCTGCCACCCTGCTCCAGCCTGCCTGGCTGCAGCCCAGCCGCCCTGCCTGGCTCCCCCTCTGCGGCTCTAGCTGGCCCCACCTCCTGCCCCCTCCAGCCAGGCCTCTGATCCGCCTGTGGACTCAGAGGCTGGGGGCCGGGCACAAGGCCCCTGGGCACAGACCAGAGCCCCCGGCATCCACAGAGGCATCCCTTCGGTCCCAGCGGAGGAGCCCCCTGCAGAGGGCATGGGGGTGGGCGGCCCCACCAGGTATGTGCCTCCACGCCAGGTCCTGGGGCCTCAGGACCCCACCCCACCCCCATCCTACTCCTCGCCACTGCCCCCTGGCTGCCCTGCCTGTGCCCACCCAGGGTCGTCTCTGCCCTCGTGTCCCCATCCTTGGGGAGGCTATGTCTTACCCTCAGGGAAAGACTTGGCCCCAGAAGCTCTTCCCCCAGGTTCAATGCCTCCAACTCTAGCCCATCTCGTTTTTCTGTCTTTTCTCACGGCCGCTACTCTCCCACTAAAGCGAGACTTTGTCTCCATCTCTGTCTCTCATCTCCACGATGCTGTCTCTCCATCTGCATTTAAGACGTGCATTTCTCTCTTTTTCAGTGGCTCTCCGTCTGCCTGTCTGTGCCCTGCCCACTCGGTCGCTGGCCTCTCACTCTGTCCCCCTCCCATCCTTCCTCAGTTCCTCAGCACCCCTCCTGCTTGTGCCTGTGTCTGTCCATCTCTGTCGCTGTCTCCCCGCAGTTCCCCCCCACCCTTCTCCTGTCAGCCTCAGCTCTCCAACCTGCTGTCCAGACCCCACTGGTGGGGGCTGGGGGGGCACCCCAGGTCTTAGGGAGAGTGTGTGAGTGTGCATTTAGGGGGGAGAGGGTGGGGCCTGGAGGTGGGGCTCCATGGCCCCAGATTAGCCAGTGACTTTGACACAGAGTTGAAGCATCTTAAGCCCCGAGTCTCCTTTATATGGAAACGTTAAGCTGCTCTCGCAGGTCAGGTGGAGGGTGTGGGGGGCCCTCAGGCCTGTGAGCCTTTTTCCTCCCGCCCCACCTCTGCCACGGGTGGGTGCCTGAGCCCTGCGTTGCATTCGCACCTGGAACTGGGCCATGCTGGTCGTGATTGGCCCCTGGAGCTGAGGGTCCCTGTTGGCTCTGTGACGGACACAGTCACGTCTGCCTCCCAGAGTTGAGGAGGGACCTGAGGATTTGGGGAATCCTGGGGCGGAGAGCTCAGCCCTAGCCAGTGCGCATCCTATGGTGGCGTGGGCCGCCACACACTGCCTTCTGGCCTGGCCTGACATGGGGTAGCGATCCTGGCCTCCCAGCATCTGGAGCAGTCAAGGTGAGCCGCGGGGTCTGGGGGAGTCCAGCAGGCTCTGCAAGGCCTGGCACATGGTAGGTGCTCGGGAAGCTGGCTCTCGGGAAGACCGGTTCGGCACAGCCTTGGCACCAAGCCCGGGTTGGGAGCCAGGCCTTGCCACTCCCCTCCCTGACGCAGAGACCTGGAGCAGGTGAGAGTATGCCCTGCCCTGCCCTGCCCCATCCTGTCATTGGGGTAGTTCCTACAAGGGGCCTGGTGCAAAGGGGAGCTTAGGGCCGGACAGGCTGTCCCCTCGGGCAGCCAGCCTGTTTTTCCTTTTGGGGAGAACATTCTTTAACATCCAGGTTTGTCAAGGAAGAATGGTGATGGGGTTGGAGTTCACTGTGGGCCCAGAGCACAGCCAGGCCTGGTCCACCCTGATGTGTGCCTCAGCTTTGCCTCTGGAATGGGTATAGGAAATGTCCACGTGGCAGGGCTGTATCCACAGGTGCAGAGCTCCTGCTGGGGACAGGGACCCCGCTGGTGCTGAACTCCACAGAGACTAACAGTCCTTTCCTGGAATGGAGTGAGGCCTCTCCTGGGAATGCAATGGCTCAGCCCTAACCACATCCACACAGAGGACAAAGGTACTTGGTAAATGGTGGCACTGATAGGCAAATTGTTTAACCCCAGCACTGCTCCTCCTGGGGTATCCAGGTCCTAAAAGTCTCCCCACCTTGGTCCCAGGCATTAGTTAACCTTGCAGTTGCTGGAGGTTACATGCCCAGTACCCCAAGGTACTCTGGATCCCTTCGAAGTTGGGGAGGCTGTTTTTTCCTATTATGTCATTTTCTTTCTTTTTTTTTTTTTTAAAGAGAGTTTTGCAATAGGGTGTGTGTGCTCACCAGAAAGAAAGCGAGAAATCATCCCCCGGGGGGCTGGCCACACCATGATCCCTTTTCTATTCTCTTCTCGGGATCTTGGGCACGTACCACATGTGCCCAGTGTGAGCTTGAAGCTGCTGAGTCTGGGACTCGAACTGCAGTCAACTACACAGGAGTTATCTATCTAACTTTACTTATTTATTTTTAATTGGACCAGAGAGGGACAAAGTGTGTGTGAGAGAGAGGGAAAGCCAGCCACCAGGTCCAGGATTGAACCACAGTTGGCCACGTGGGAGTCCAGCGCCCTGGACCACCATGCTACATGCTGGTCCAGTATTATTATTATTATTATTATTATTATTATTATTATTTTATTTTGGAAAGGTTTTTGCTGTAGGGTGTGTACGTTCGTCAGAAAGAGACAGACAGACAGAAAGCAAGAAATCACCCCCCCAGGGGGGGTGGCCACGCCACAATCCCTTCTCCATTCTCCTCTTGGGATCTTGGGCACGCACGCACACATGCCCAGCATGAGTTTAATGCCACTGGGTCCAGGACTCAAACCACGGTCGACTACATGGCAGTCCGGCGTCGTAGCCCTTACGCCAACTATGGT